CCGAAACAACCCGTTCAGTTCTCTCTGCCTGGACTAGTCTTTAATTTCTTTCTCTCCTTCACTACCCTCTGCCCGCCAGCCCATCCCGGGGTGGTTGTTAACTGTCCTTCCCGGCTGGTTACCAATAAAGTTGTTACAAAGTGACCTTGAGCGTCTTCCCGGCTGCGCCCGATTCCCCGCCTTCTCCATCCGGGTGCCGCGGCGCGGATAAGAGGCGGACCGCGCCTGCGCGCTCAGCCCCACTCCTTCGACCTCTGCCGCCGCGGTCGCCGCCACCTCTAGGGAAGGTAAGCGGAGGGCGCGGGAGCCGGGCCGGTCCGGGGTGGAGCCGCGCCCAGGAGGGACCCATTCATTCTGCTGGCACCTCGCTGGGCGCGGGGCCCAAGCTGACCGCGGGCACAGGAGCCCGCGGGAACTGGGTGGAAGTACAGGCCCTCGGAGGGCACTTGACCTTAAGCCTCTTTGCCTCCGCAGAGAGGAAGCGGGAGAGGAGCCCACCTCGCCTGTCATCCAAGTTCTCCAGCCGCGCCGCCCCCTAGAGTGCAAGATGTTCGCCTGCGCCAAGCTCGCCTGCAGCCCTGCTCTGGTGCGTAGCCCAGGCTGGCCCAGGGGCCCTTGGCCTGGGCGTCCACGTTGTTGAACGGGTCACCTCCGGGCGGGGCACACCGCCCTCTTGGGACAGCTCTCCCTCGCCCCTTAACCTTTATGTCTTTTTCGGCCTTTCTTTTCTCATTCTGGGGCTTCTCACGCCGCTCCTCCCCTCCACGAGGGCGGTGGAGAGCCGCCGAGGCCTAGCTGTCAGGCTCCATTCGGTGTAGGTCAGACCCTCCTTGCTCCTCGTCCCGGAGCCGCCCCCTCCCCCACTGCCTCCGTCACCCTGTTGGGTTGGGACCACGCGAAGGTTGGGGTGCAGTAGAGGATGGAGGGGGCCGCTGAGGCCTAGTCCATTGCAGCTGTGCTCTGCGTGGCCGATCTGTAGGTCAAACTCGCTGCTGCAGAGGGAGGGACTTTGCCTCACCCTGTGTGGGCGGAAGCAGCTAGTGCAGGAGCCTAGAGGCTTTTTTTCCCTGCCTTTGGGTTGTTATTTCCAAAACCATTTTGGACGCTTTGGGTGAGGTGAAGATCTGGAGGATTTGTCTTAGGGAATCAGGTGTTGGTTCTGAAGGGATTTTCTGTGACCTTAGTTTAGTGGACACTCAAGGGCAGAGAAGGTGGACTGGAAAGTGTCCTTATGGTCAGAGTGTTTTGACGAATATTCTTACACTGATGTAGAATTGCTTAAAATGCTTTTTAAATTTTATGATTAATGGACATAAAGGAATATCTGAGAAATAGTGGGAGCTTATGTTAACTAACGGGCTGCTTTAAATGACACGGGCTTACAGTGCTGATGTACTTGTTATTTCTCGTAAACTTACCAAAGAATGTAAGGGTATTTATTGCCAGTTTTCTGATCTGAATTGTGGCACTACAATGTTTGAAATTTTAAAAGCAATTCTTATTTTTTTTAACGAATTGTTCTTAGAAGTTTTGTTCAGAATGTTAACAAATATATTGTGAAGCAAGCTTTAAAATTGCATTAACAATTTTCTTAAAATTGCTTCATGCATTGAAAATAACCAAACAGCCAAAATAAGAATCAATAGAAGTCATGATCTTTCTGGTTGATTTTTGCTGCTTGTTTTTTTAGAATTCATGGTGCAAGAAGGGTTCTTGACGTCTTATCTGTGTTCTTAACTTAACTAATACATGGAATCTTTTTTCATTAACAGATCCGAGCTGGATCCAGAGTTGCATACAGACCAATTTCTGCATCAGTGTTATCTCGACCAGAGGCCCGGACTGGAGAGGTAAAAGTAGTAATAATAGAAATTAAGTAACACTACCAAGTGAGTCTTATGGTTTTGATTAAAGTGAAGGGGGAAAACCTCATTAATGAATGGTTTGAGTCAGTCCTTTCCACCCTTTCATCCAAAAACCTTGCAGAGAATGAGCCAAAGAAAGAAACTTCTGTATCCAAAACTTATCCACCTGAGTTGGCTAAAAAATATAGTCAGTATATATATTTAAGTATTTAGTTTTGAGTTGCCTATATTGAAGATTATGATAGCAGCAGTTACTGAAAAGCCTACTTTATTAAAAAGCATATGCACATATACTATTTCTTAATTTTCAAAAACCTTATATGGTATAGATGTTGTTTTTCCTGTTCTACAAGATTGGAATTATTCTAAGCCCTTGATTTTTCTGTCGTGCCATACCACCTCCTGTTTAAACTCAGCTACAAAATAGAGAAGTAGTTATCATTTTGACAGTACCATGATTAAAATAGCCAACTGTGATTACTGATTTGAACTTTGCCTTTATTTCCTGTTTTTTAGGGCTCTACGGTATTTAATGGGGCCCAGAATGGTGTGTCTCAGCTAATCCAAAGGGAGTTTCAGACCAGTGCAATCAGCAGAGACATTGATACTGCGGCCAAATTTATTGGTGCAGGTGCTGCAACAGTAGGAGTGGCTGGTTCTGGTGCTGGTATTGGAACAGTCTTTGGCAGCCTCATCATTGGTTATGCCAGGTAATTTTTATTACCAAACTAGTTTAAAAAAAATTCTTGAAATAGTTGGAATCTTAGAAAACTAGTGAAATAATAATAGCTATTTTGTACTGAGTGCCTGTCTTGTCCTGCGTTATATTTTGAGGACTTTGTGTGCATTAGCTCATTTACTGCTCCCAACACCCCTTAGAGAAACACTCCAATTTACACTCTAGTGTGAAGAACTAGAGACACAGAGATTATACTGCTTGCCCAAAGTCATAGCTAGTGTCAGAAAGTAAATTTTAACTCACTTTGACTTCAGAGTCTGCACTAGTTAAGTTATTTTGGGAATGTAATTAAGAGAGCTCATGCTTTAAAAATATCAATTTCCATTTTATTATTTAAGACTTTATTTTTAAATTATCAAATTTTATAAAGTATAGAACATACTTTCATGGGGATAAGAAGAATATCAATGCCTCAAAATGGATGAAGACTAACCACTTACATTGACACAGAGAGACAGTGCCCCTCCCCACCTTTTCCCCATATGACTAGGATTGAGGAGAAAGGAATGTCAAAGGCAGAACCAAAAGAGATCTAGGCAAATACTGCTCCAGGACTTTCTAGTTTACAAAGATCCCCTACACTAGTAATTTGATTCTTTGATACTTACCAACTGTGTTAAAATTCAAACAGTATTTCAAAATAACAGTGATATGTGTTGTCTCTTTTAGAAACCCTTCGCTGAAGCAGCAGCTGTTCTCATATGCTATCCTGGGATTTGCCTTGTCTGAAGCTATGGGTCTCTTTTGTTTGATGGTTGCTTTCTTGATTTTGTTTGCCATGTAACAGAAATTACTGCTTGAAATGTTGGCATTCGTAGTAATTATGGATATAATTCTGTGTATCTTACTGTGACTCCGAAAACTGTAGTGTTGGTGTCATGGAAATGTACGTTATTTCCAAAGTCATTTCATTAAAGATGAAAACTTTACTTTTTGCTGTGATTTGTACTTACCAAATTTAAATTTAGATCATCACAAAGAAGAACATGAATTCAGGCAGAGGCTGTACAAGTCAGAGGAAACTACAGCAATTGCCTTGGTGGTGTAAAAGATTCTAATGTAATTTTTATGGGAATTCCTTTATATAGTGTTCTGCACATTGTAAATTATAGGGCTTTTGTTTATTCATATAAAGGGGAAGTGTTTGAGTGCTTTGAGCTTCTATGAAATATGATTGATTAAACCAAGATAGTTAATTACTCCAGGTGGTTTTGTATTTTTAAGAGCTAACATGAATTACAGTACTTGGAAACAGAATCACCTTCCAAGATTGACATGGCTGGTTTTAAACAGCTGGATCTAAAAATAATCATGTCAGCTTCTTAGGAATTGAAGCCTTATTAAATGGGTGTGGTTAGGAGGTGAATTTTGCTTTTCAGTAAGTCTCACATTAAGCAATTGTGTGTCTGATGAATCTTACCTGTCTTCTAAGAAAAAACTCAGTCTAACTAGCAGCTAGTTTCTTGCTTAAACAAGGCTCTCATAAAAAAACAGATACCAAAAAGTAAAGTGAACTGGCTATAATTCAAAGCCAAAAGTTGCTAAAGCATTGCTTATCTTTGATACTAACAGATGTTTATAATAGGAGTCTTGAGAATGACAGCTGGTTCAATAGTATTTTGTTTCTAATACCACATGTTGCTTCTTGGTCAAATTTTGCCTATTAAAAGGAATAAAGGGGTGCTACTATAGAAAGACTGAGTTTTTCCCCTAGTGAAGATATTGTACTGTTACATTATTTGTCATCCCAGTTTCAGGATGTCTATAAAAGGTTAGGATGACAGTTAGGAAAACTACCTTTTACTCCTTTAATCCCCTCTACCTAATTTGATTTCAGTTGAGAAACAGCCATCGGCTACCAGGGTTACTCAGAATGCAGTGGGAAGACCGTCTCCATCAGAATCATCTAGGATGTCTAAAATACAAATCCCTAGGCTCCGGACCTACTGAGTTAGAATCTTTGGCCTTGAGACTCGGCCATCTGCATTTTTAAAAAGATTTCCCAGGTAAATTTTGTGCACACTTTTTGAGTATCACTAACTTATGTGTATCTTTCCCACTGTCTGTAAAGTATCAAGAAAGCTAAAGAGCTAGAGCTATGACCACTTTTTCTTTGGTTAATCATCCAGTCTATATTACTTAAATTCCTGGAGGCTTCACTGTTTTCTTGAACAGTACTACTCAGTATTTGAATTCAGCAACGTAAATAAAAAGTACTGTATAATATGACCCAGCAATTCCACGCCTTGGTATATAGCCAAAAGAGTTACAAGCATTCAGGGAAAAACTTATGTACAAATGTTCATAGCAGCAGTATTCACAATAGCCAAATGGTGGAAACAACCAAACTAATGTTTGGATAAACAAACAATGGTGTTTTGATAAACTCATGATAAAATGTGGTATATTTATATAATATTAATCAGCCATAGAAAGGAATGAGGTACTGGTATATGCTACATCAGTGAACCTTGAAAACATGCTAAGTGAAAGAAGCTGGACACAGAACTGCATATTGTATGATTCCATTTATATGAAATATCCAGAATAGGCAAATTCACAGAGACAAAGCAGATTAATTGTTACTAAAGGCTAGTGGGTGGAGAGAGTGGGAAGTGACTGCTTAATGGATATGGGGGTTCCTTTTGGGGTAACAAGTGTTCTGGTGATGGTTGCATAACACTGAATGTACTGAATGCCATGAATTGTATACTTTGTAAAATGATTTTAAAAGAAAATATATACATTTTAGACAATTGAAAAAAAGTACTGTACTATTAATATCATAGTGTAAAATCACACCAAATTTTTAAATTCTAGGGAAATACTTTAGTCCTGTTACAAGTTTATTTTAAATAAGATCAACTTAGATCAAACAAACAAAACCTGCTCTTAGTGCCAGTTTGGTGGTTAAAGAGGCCTGAAACATTGATTCTGGAGCAGATTTCTTAGGAGACATGCCCTTAGCTGAGGAAATACCCTGAGAATGAAAAGGAAATATCTGCTGTGGCTTGCTGTCTTCCAAGTTACTGAGCAAAAAAAAATAGTTCTTTAGAAAATGAGTAAAACTTAGAAGTATAACCACAGGTGATTTTACCTAGAAGGGAAAGGGACATACTGCATCAAAGGATCAACGTCCTGGAGTATATCTCTCTGCTTACTATTTTATTTTTATTTCTAGTAACAAATTTCTGACTTTGAAAGTGTATCACTGTAACACATCTACTTTGACAGCAGAGATGTTTATTGTACATCATTTTTGCAGCAAGTGCTACCAGCCTTACAAGCAAGTAGTAATGATACATGCTTTTCACTAACTCGTTTCTGAACAGAGGCCAATAAAGATGTTTTCACATCAAAGACCACATGAATTCTACATGTTGATGAGTTTGTCCTGTTTAAAAATTCCAACAGACAAGAGCACTCATTGTGCTGAAAGGTTAATTCAAGATTGGTTGAGTGCCAGTCCAACTATATTTAGAACATTGGTCCTCAAGGTATTTCAGATTTTCAGGCATACTTTTTATTTGGTAACATGTTATCATTCCTCATCACAGAAATGGTTGTATTTTTAATGCCTTTAGGATTAACTCAAAATACAGATTTGAATATGAAATATATGTTTGAACTAAAGAGAAACTTGTTATTTAGCCACCAATACTAGGCATGTATGGAAATAACTAAAACTAAAAGTAGAATGGTGAGTCCAAAAGAGTGGCAGGAAGTACTAAGTGTTCAGAGGTGGGTATTTTCCAGTGATGGAATCACAAGAAGAAATGTTATTTTTCTATGAATTAATATAAACCTTGAACTGGTAGAATGAAGAAGGGCCAGAATAAGAGGGTGTATTGGCTAGGGAAGAGCATGAGGTGAGGTCCGTGAGATACAAAGAGCTGCCCAGGTATGAGAGGAAAATACTGTAAGATAATGCTACAGAGGTAAACTGGGGACAAGCTGTAATTTAGCACATGTGAAAGTATAGGTTTTATTCATGTGACCACAACCACCATTGGAAGACTAGAGCTGTGCTTAAGAAAGGTTAATACAAGAATAGCGTGTAGCATGAACTGGAGCCAGTAATGATCAGTGGTTGCTATAGTAGCATTGCTGGGAGGCAATGAGGGCCCAGTCTAGGATGGTGGCAATAAGTATTTTTTAAGAGTCTACAAAAGTTGCATTAGGATTTGATGGAAACCAGTTGGAGGAGAAGAGGGTATGCAACAAGTAAGTGCCACTCCCTCTCTTAGGGTCTTTATATACTGTGTCATTTAACCCCCATGATAACCCTGCAGAAAGTGGGATTAGTTTATAAGATGCAGAGTGAAATAGGCTCAGAGGAGCTAAACAGTCCCCCAAATTACACAGCTATTAAGTGGCAAAGTCAGGATCCAAAAGTTATTGTTAGAGAATTTTAATCCAAGATTGAAGCATACTCTTTAAAAAAAAAGGCAAAAAAGACCAAACCCTGGGAAAGGAGGAGAATCTGATTTCAGAGATAATCACATTATTAGATTCAAATGTCCAGTTTTCAAAAACAACAAAATCACAAAACACTCAAAAAGACAGGAAAGTATGGTTCATTCAAAGGAAAAAAACCAACAGAATCTGTCCCTGAAAAAGACCTGATGGCAGATCTACTAGACAAAGATTTTTAAACAACTGTCTTAAAGATGATAAAGAACTACAGGAAGATGTGGAGAAGGTAAAACACAACAAGATGTATGAACTTCCTCTTTCCAGACTTACAAAAGCTACAGTAATCAAAACAGTGTGGTATTGGCATAAAGATGGACATAATAGACCAATGGAATAGAATAGAGGTATCTACACCTGAATTCATAGCAGTATTGTTCACAATAGCTAAAACAGCAACACAAATGTCCATTGATAGATGAATGGGTAAACAAAATGTGATATATACATACAATGGAATACTTTTTAGCCTTAAAAAGGAAATTCTGACACATGCTACAACATGGATGAACCCTGAGGACATTATGTTAAGTGAAATAAGCCTGTCACAAAAAGAAATACTGTATGATTCCACTCATATAAGTGGTACACAGAGTAGTCAAAACCATAGAGACAAAAAGTAGAATTGTGGTTGTTAGGGTCTGAGGTACAGGAAATGGGGGGAGAGGCTATAGTTTAACGGGTATAGAGCTTCAGTTTTACAAGATGAAATGAGTTACAGAGATGGTTGGTGGTAATGGTTGCAAGATGTTATGAATGTATTTAGTATCATGAAATGTGCACTTAAAAATAGTTAAGATGGTAAATTTTATGTGTATTTTATCAAAATTTTTTAAAAAGAGAAAGAGATCAAGGGCTCAGAGGTTGTGATAAGGTTCAAAATGCATTTCAGGAAGTACCAAAAAATTTCTTAAATTTTTTAAATTTCAGAGTTCAACATCAATAGAAATAAGGTAAGTCCAAGGAAATGATCAAATTTTGTGGTCAAGTTGCTGAGTGGCTAAAGTTGGGTAGAAATTAATGTCATTGAAGCTAAATTTAAGGAAAGACTGTAGAGAAATGGGAAGTAACATTTGAGAACCAAATAAACTATACTCATGACATGGTTTGGTTTGCATGTTAAGTAAGGAAAAGTTTGTATTGTTGCAGTACTATCCTCTGCAAAGCCTTTTATAGTATGTGATTTCTATGCATGAAATTATAAATGAATTATTGCATTCTCTACATGCTGAGCATACATAAATTTCATAATTTCATGGTATTACTCTACTGATAATACTGTGGATTTAAGATCCAAACACATAGTCCATCAGTCACTTGCCCAATTATTTATGTTATTAGGGGCAAAAATTATTTTTTCAGATCTAATACCATCCTCCCCTGCTTCAATAAACATGGTGGTTGGATTCTGTCCCTGCCAATAACTATTCTATACCTTAGCTTGCTTTGATGTAGA